TATCTGACTGTTGTAGTCAAATAATGGCAAGCCAGATAGAATTGTTATCAGGGAAAATATAAATAAAATCCAAATGTCTAATTCAATATTTATGAGGAAGTCTGTTGTTATTCCACTGAATGTACTAATAAATGAGAATTTGATTACATGTGTTCTTCCATTGCAATAATAATTTTACTAATCATTATTATTACGTAGTGCAGACAGACACATTTTATTCTACACTATACGTTCCTATCAATTTCGGAAACTTTTATGCAAACCAAACACTCCGATGAGCTACTGATCAGTTCATCAGTGGAGAAACGTGGATCTATTCTCAAATATGTTGTATACACATATACTCATTAAATTCAGATGTCAGAAATATTCGAGTGATAAACACCTAGGCATAGATGGGCGCGGTCGCTAGCATGTATTACATACAATCATAAAATGAGCAGACATGTCGAGTCATCTCAAAATTACACATAGGTGTAGAAGTTTCCGTTCGCGATTTCACGTTACATGCACATATAGAACGCATACGCCGCGCCACATACACTCCACTACAAACAATACCGATTAACATCAATGAATTCGTGATAAATATTAGACCTCCATCCTAAGTATTTTAACATCTTAAAAGTTATGTGCATACTAAATGCTCTATAATTTAACTCATTATCTGAATAATATCTTCAAAATATGCATTCAGATACCATTTTTTAGCATATTGTAATATTATCGTTATTATGTAACACATTAATTGATTTCGGGTTCATACTATTGAGTTGTATATTGTAAGTACTCAGTGCAACGAAAATGCCAAACAATGAATTGAAAATCGAGTGGATTATGTTTTTATTCAGTATGAAAATATAATGACAGACATATTCGGCCCAGCCTTTTTCATTCAAGAAGAAATGGCAAAGCTGAGGAAACTGGGTTTCCAATTGAGTAGTTATTCTTCTGGTGAAAGTGAAAGTGATTGAAATAGTCATAAGATATGTTTCGAAGTGAACGACTTGATACTAAACACGTCTTATGACATTATGCACAAAACGCTGATATCACGGAATGCAGGATTGTCAAGCAATCCTTTTGACGGCCTCTACATATATTGATATTTATCATAGTGAATTATTGATTGAAAAGCAATGGTTGCATTGGAATAGTAAAATTCCATGTTGTACTTTCAAAATATCGTTGTTCACTACTTTAATTAGTTCACTGAAGAGTTTTGGAAATCCACTTGAAAAGGATTAATGTTTTCGAGGTATTTTATCTACAAACACAGCTTAACATTTCATAAATATTCAGTTCTTAAGTTTTACAGGAAATCATAATGGTACGAATTATGTTACGGTTCGACGGACAACCATGGCGAATTAATGATTACAAATAATCTGTGGATTGGATAGACTGACAGTGTATTGATCATATCGCAATGAGTAGAAAATCGAATTACTCGCGTTAATAAAAAACATGAAAAAGGTGTTTCAATTATAAATGAGTTTTCATTTTCCCTACCATTTACTTGTCTATTGACTTGAGGTATCTCAATATCAAGTGGCAAGCAATATAAATGATTCAAATACAATCATGCTGGAGTCAATTATCAAGCATCAAAAATTCTACTGTTATTCGTGCTGTGAAATTATTGATACAAGTTTGTTAAAGTAAACACGTAAAGTTTGTTCTCCCTTATGAGAGTTTTTTAAAAACCAAAGAAAATGGAAACAATCATTATGATATTTTAAACTTACGTTCTTAGTTGAATTATTTTCTGTTAACAAGTAATCCACGGAACATGGTTCCGTCTTTAGTTTACCAGTAATAGTTATCAGGATAGTATAAGTCGCTGTTGCATAAGGTGGAACACTCAGTTCAACATTAAAGAATTGCAACTTTTCAGCTTGATTCACCACTGAGGTATCCTTTAATGTCAAGTTACTTTTCCCAGCCTATTCGTTAAAAAGAAGGTTAGCATGATTCGTACTGAAAACTTACCAAATTAGAACCTGTAAATGCTATGAGTTGGCTCTCACAAAAATTCACTGTAGAATTCTTACCTAATGGTGAGATTTTCGCTTCAAACATAACGGATGCCAAACTTGGTTTATATATCTGGATAAAAACTGTTAGACGAACTGATCGATTCATCATTGGCAAAGTAGTGTCATAAACACCTAAAATATATTTTAAATTAAATGTGAATATTTACATATGAATATAAAATAAGAATTGCTCGTTCCAATAACTAGGAAAAGAAATATTCAAAGAAATATGAAAACAAGATCATTTTGTGAAAGAATGCTTGTCATTGGGACTTATGAGAGTAAATCGCGAAAGTTCCCTAATGAAATGTATTGGAAAATAATAGTTTATATTTGCAGTTTTTAACACGACAGTTAGCTATTTATGAAAAAATGAGCCCGATGAAAGCTAAAACATAGTCAATTAAACGTAATTATACGCTTCATAGATGTAAGAGATCTAATGGTGAGTAATGTTAGTAACCTTGAATATACTAAGGTCATTATCTTCCAGTCTGACTGAGAACACTGACGATGGCTGCAAGATATTGAGAATTGATTGAACGTTAGCATGTGAGCCACTGGATGTAAGCTAAGTGGTCTGGAGGTTAGATGTTTGCACGGCACACCGAGGTTCCTGGTTCCTATTCACGACAGTGAAATGGTAGATGCGTACTGGCGAGAAGTCTCAATTTAGAAAAAAACGTAGCTTTCCAGTGCTTCCTAATATTTAATAATTGTTCAACGAAGATCAGTCTGTGATTCGGAAACTCAAAAATCCTCACGATCCTCCTACATTAGTCAAGAATGATCGCAAACTTTCTAACAATACATCCATTCAACTATGCCAAGAAAAGAAGCCTAGAATGGATGATAATTTCGCACATTTTTTATCAAGGTTTGAGGGGTGAGAAATTTTTATTGTTACATCTTTTATCAGTCTACATATGGAAGGTCTTGTAAAATGAGAAACAAAGAGGTAAAAAATAACTTTCTTCGCTGGTAATTTTTAAAATATTGCAAAGCATGGGTTGTTTTGAACTGCATCTCATTCTTTTGCGATAGTAATTGACGGTTCAGTATGTCACAATGCATCTGTGTTCGGTAGCCACCTACAGACCTTGTAACGACCGCTATATAGTCGGGTTCAAGTCAAAATAAAACAGTTTACCCAATTGAAATGAGCAATATTCCACCATCTTACTGTTGGTACTTCTCTGTGTGATATTCATCTGCAATTAGTAATTATTCTCGAAAGAGAAAATAACTAGTATATCTTTCATAAAACTTTCTATAGATCATAGACAGAATGGGTGTGTGTCACCTACTTATGATTTTGTAGTTTAACTTACCCCAGTCAGTAACATATTTATGAGTGCAGTTATATTAGGAAAACTAAATATTCAGGGATGAAGAAACTATCGGCTGAGCAGTTCACCGTCTTTTAACATCACTTTCCAAAAATAATGAATTTTATGTTATTGGATAATTTTTTACATAAAATTTCAAGACGTCTTGATGGTACTTTCAAAATTACTTAGACATTATATTCCTGTTCAAAGTGGTTTCCTGGGAAACTGAAATTCTGTTCGTCTCACTCTTAGTTACCTTCTTTAGCAAACTAACTACTAAATCGAAATCACAGTTTTCTCTATTCCTTTGCTCTTACTTTAATCGGAGAATATTGTTCAGCTTATACTACTATATTTAATAGCAGAAAATGAACTATTATAACTATGACTTATCAAAGATCTTTATTTCTCCTTTCGGAAAACATTTAAGACATTTCAAACTAAATTGACAGATCTCTCGCTTCCTGTCGTAGTATCAAGATGAAAGAAATCATGTTTTTTGATTTATCTAACCAAAACTGTTTCTTTCTCGTTTCTAAGTGATTACCCTGAAAGTTACGCCAGCATCTATGTGAATAATGGTAACACTCTAAGCCTGACATTTTTTCCGCAGTGGACATTGAATTGATACTGTGAACTTGGTTTGGATTGAAGCCTCAATAGGATAATGAATGCTCCCTGGAGTGAACTAAAATTGATTTAAACTAATATTTTACACACAGACTTGTAAGTTACTTTTCGAGTTAGTACTTAAATCGGAAAGTATGAAACCATTAAAATTAAAATATTTACTTGTCTATTTTGTTTGTTGTCAATAACACAAAATATTACAATCTTATTTACTGGATAAGATTCTGCTTAAGGTGTTTACAAGGTTACTTAAATTTTCCTGATAATTCTGAAACCATACTAGAAATGAGAGCAAAAGCATACTTTATAGATGACCTTCAAAAAACTGAACCGAATTTCCAGCCAGTTCTAAACTAATCAGAAAGCAGCTTTTAAAAATGAGTAGTCTGTGAAAAAAACGATGAGATTACAGTGTGAATGGATTCTAGGTAATTAATGAATATATTAATGTCTTCTACCCGTTGTTCCACCTGCGAGTTGAAGAAACAAAGGGATATTACTTCAACTGTGCTGTTAGAGACTATTCGTTTTCGTTAATCTTTAAAATGATCCAAAACGTGTTCTCACATTATTTTTCGTTAGGGATAGCACATTTAGGGTAATGGTTAGGGCTTTGGAGCTTCATTCACAAATTGACAAATTAAAAATTCCTCTGTTGTCGTATATGTGAGTGAATTTCTGTCAAAAATACTGGAGTAAATATTTGATCAGTTCATTCATAAAATGTAGTCCCATTAGGTATGTGTTTGTTTTAGGATTAAATATTTAAAGGTAGAACATATCGATAAAGCCGATTTGCCTGTTAATTACAATCAAAGGAGACAGAAGTAGAATTTCGATACACTTAACACTTACGATTTTAATCTACATCTGCAAAAACTGAATTTTTGCAGTCATTGTGAATGTTTTGAGCACTACACAAAAGTATTTTCACTGCTTGTCACACATAATATTTGAATTTCGTGCTGAAATTCAATTCTGATTGACTTGTCTCTAAAGTATACTTTTACTGAAACCATCGTCGTAATTACTTTTTGAATGGAGTTTTCCACATTGCTCTTTCCATTTTCTGATTGACTTCCATCGCTTATAGTTAGCTAAATTTCTATAGTCTCAAAGGTCATCTTTTTGTTCTTATATTACAGAGTTACGTGAAATCATAACCTTGAACGACGTATACTAGTGCAATTCACGGAAGCCTCAACAAAGCATACTATGAATATATTAATTAATTTTTGTTCAGGAAATAAGTTGGACAAGAGATATTTGATTCCAGTAAACAGTTTAATGATAAGTGAAATGTACAACGTTTAAAAAATAACAACAAAATAAAAGTATCTACGACGATCCAAACATGTTAGTAACTATTCGATAGTGGTTAAATTCGACTATTGATAACAACACGGTCAAACCATACTATTTTTTTCCCATTAAATTTCACTATGACAATAGGAGATGGCTATAAACTAGCGGAATCAGAAGTCAGGAGTCTCGCAGTGTGAATAAATCTATATTGATTTCATGATAAGCAGCGAAGAAGTACTATCGTGTATTTCTAAGCAGGATGATGACAACACATTTTAGAAATTCTCCTAATAGAAGTTTAGAAGTTTTAAGACAAATCTATTAGCAAATCCATGACAAAATAAAATAGTGTTACAAGTAGCAGGATTATTCAGAATTTAAATGCAATCACACAAAAGTAAATATATCTGATAATGAAATGTATAACAAACTTCTAACAGATATCATTTGGTCAGTAGCAATCGCCCTTCATTTGTAAACTGATATATAATGTAGGTATGAAGCTCAATTATCAGGTCTCGATCTCATTAAGAGAACTGTGAAATCCGTATCATACAGGAGCTTATATTTCAAGTGACTTCTACACATGCTCATTTTTGTGGTCCATATTTTTATATGCAGACATTTAACTTTGCGAAAAACAAATCCTGTTCTTCTTTCCATTAGTATTGTCTTCACTTGGAGATTCGTGTCAATAGTCTGATCTCGTATTCAGCAAACACAGAGACTAAAGTAACAATACGTTTACCCATTGGTTTATTTGCAATTATAAAGCTAGCATTGTTCATAAGATGATTACCAGTAAAATATATCTTAAAATCAATGATTTTTCGGAATACGACTTCTGGAAACAAATATTTTTATCCAACTTGAATAACAACGTATTCAGCCCCTACCATCTTCTTCATTCCTCTTAATCACTCCATATTTATGCATATTCGATTGTTCACAACATCTCTTGTCATTTCAGTTCAGTAATAAATACCTTTGGTACGTAGAAACTGTCATACCATTACACTACAAGTGTCATAATTAATAGCTTTTCCAAGTAAAACAGCTGAACACTTTCCAATTTATGACTGGTCAAGACAGAATAAACACTGAGCTTATTCAAATTCATCATATATAGTTGAGGGATTTGTCTATGCACAAATTTTGTCACCAAATAAATGTGGTTGTTAAGAATTGATTAGTAACATCAGTTTGACGAGGCCATCATACTGACCGGTAAAAAAGTGATTCATCGAAGAAATATTAACAGAGAAATGCAAGTAGCAGAATAAGTGCCTAAAATCATATCATCCACTGCCCTAATGATATGCAGTATGAAAATTCGGTACTTGTGTAAATAAGTATCAGAAAATGGAAAGGCACTTGTTACTGTTTTCACAAGTGCATACTTAATTTCATAAACATACATACAGGAAAAGATGTAATATTTGGAAAATACAATATTTATGAGTATCACGTTTTGAGCATGGTGGTTAGTTGTGAAACATCAGGAACTTAGTGTTATAAGACACAGCTAGACTGAACAAAACTGTTAATATATGATACAGTTAACAATATACATGGTTTATACTGAAACAGAGTGTTTAACGTTAGAATTCATTGTACGGTGAACTTACCTGGATTTTGTAGATTTGAAACACTAACGTAGCCAATAGTAGTCAGTACGAAGCTATCACCAACGAATTGTTGCGTATCTATTTTGTAACCTTCTGGGTATGTAGAGAATGTTGTGGGTAGCGTCAAAGATATATGTCCAATCGAAGCACTAAACTCATCAGTAGTGAACGTGAACTATCAAACAATTTATTAAGAAACAACAGTAAGTATTTTTCTGTACGTGGCTTTAAGGAAATAAATACGTTCAGTTTTGCATTGCGTGAACATACAAAAGTAAAGTGTTTATATTCAGATATATCTAATCAATGACCTACAACATTATGGTGGATATTTAAATGTACTCTATTAATTTTGTGTGAACATGGATGATCTCAGATGTTGTAGAAGTTCTCTCGTTATCATATTGAATAATTACCTGTTTCGTATTGTATTGGTTAGTTAAAAATGAGTTACACTTTATTTGTTAAAGTAATTAGTAGTCTGTGAAACACTGATCTGGTATATTTAACAGAATTCGTATTGAAATTGGATACTATTCATCAGGTCAAATACTTAGAAAAATTATGGTTGATATGACCATTGATAATAAAGAGAAACAGTGATAGCATTTCAGCTAAAACAACACACTGTCAATACTAAAAATTGTCCTCATAAAAATGAGAATATAATCACCAGGATAATAAGTCTAGCAACTTCATTTCGTTGTATTTGGTCGATTATTCAACGTACTTCAAGTTTTTAAATGTTAGATAATCTATGATTTTGATTTATGGCGGTACGATGTGAGATGATAAACCTTAATAGAGTTTTATTTTATTCACCTGTCCTTCTTTAAAACAGATCTTGTTTTTTCAAAAGAGTGGTTGATTATTCTTATATTTCTTCCTATGATTTAAAGGTTTATAAATGTATTCCAATATCATATCAGACTTTATCGGAATTTAATGAAAAACACTGAACGACATTCAGTGTATTTTTTGAGTGTGGTAAAGATAGAGGTGGTGATTATAACATACTTGAATGTTGTTGATCTTGACAAATGATCTTGATTTAATTAATATGGTGTTTAATCCACGTAATTCATCTGACTCATTTACAGTGTCAGCTGAATCATTATATTCTTAAGCAGAATAACTGAATAAAATCAGATTTTCACAGACATCTGACTATCAGGTTTTTAATATTTCGCAGCATCTGTACTCCTCTAGCTGATATTCTCTGGAGTAATTATCATCAAAACCTGACACCTTTTCTATTTAGTTTGTAATTTTGAAGTGTTCATCAGGACTCGACATGTTTTAATAGCCTCGTCTAGTTCTACTGAATTTATCATCACTTTTAGATTACAGATTTTTGTACGAAAACTAACCGATATTAATTATTATTCGAAAGAGCGAACTAAATATATGTATAATCTGTACTGAAGATTGAATCATAAGTGTTATTGATCACCAAATGAAATTTATCGTATTAGCGAAATCTGAGAGGAGGAAACAAACAGTCTTGACCACTGAATTTCGTGAACAGTTTTCTTTACTAGCAGTTAAGATCTGGATTATTCTGATTGTAGTGTCAGTCATTATTTTAAGCCCATTAATCTTATTCTAGCTTTCGGACATTCCATTCTATTCATTCTACTTGAGTCATATTTTGACCTTGTTAATTATTCGCTTATTAGCCTTGACTGTTTTTATATGAGCGTATATGTGTGCACACATCATATCCCATGACTCACTGAATGTCTGTAGCTTATTTTTGTCTGCCTATAAATATTGATTAACGCCTGACTAAAAATGAGTTGGCTTACCAGCCATCTTCACTCTGCGTCGCTTCTCTTCCTTCTATTCCATTCACCACATATACAAAATATATGTATTCAAAATCCCATTCCCGTTATTTGACTTATTTAATTCCGTTATTGGATAACGTGATTTAAGTCGACGATTATATATGAGAATAGACAATAACAAACATTTATGCGATCTAAATAGGAGTCAGATCCACGGGCCACTAAATGATAACGAATTAGTGGTAAATTTAGGTAGGATACTGACTGTCAGCAAAGGCCAATTTTGTAAGGGAGAGGCGTTAATGTAGTTACGCAGATAAAAGCAAGTCTAGGTGATCGTTAAATAAATTCGTTACATGCCTTGTCTCCGAACGATGAACATCCTTTTGATCCTCAAAAGACAATAATATGCATTCATCTAGCTGTTGAAATGTCTCGTGACATAAAGCTCCACATATTTCATATTGATGATGAACAAATTAATTTTTCGCAATGAGGCACGTCATAGTATGCAACAATTAAGTAAATTGTTCAAGTATCATACTTATCACTCACCACATAATCGCCAATGGGTCTGCTTATAAAGTAGTCCACAGAATATTCATAAACCCCACCTATTTCCACTATCGGTGGGCACTTGGTAAAGTTAACTGAATCATATTGAATCGGACAGTTCGAGGAAACTCTCATGAGAATATCTACAGTAACCTTTGGAGTCAAAAATGCCTCCATTCTGACTGTTAAATTGGCACCTATTGGTGGAATCGACATTTGAGAGAATAGACCAACTTGGAATCGCATCCTAATACTGAAGTCATTTGAATCATTGACAGGAGCGGATGAAACACTTATTTGACTTGTCATTGTGAACTCCGAAGACTACGGAAAACAATTAACAAAAATGGATTAAGGGTTGGAATTCTCACGAAATTCTCCACTTTTATATCTATAATTTGCCACCAAAGATATGAGTTAATATCAACTTACGAAGATAAACCACTGCAATTTCAAATTAATTTAGACCCATTCACAGAACCGATTTTAAGCGATGTTGAGTCATTTGATGTGACATCTTTTATCATATATTTCTTCAAGTTTGTAGATTGACTACAATTATTTGGTATATCAACTCATCTATAACCAAAATCTAATTTACGGAATAAAACAAAGCAAATATAGAAAATCAGAATTTCTATCTATTACCGCTTCTTAAAATATGAACGTCACAAAGACGTTTCTACATCTTATCTGATCCTTTCTGTTTTAGTTCTTGTATTTTCCCCTCCTTCGTCTCTCTGGAACTTTCACTCAGTGATGACTATAGTCTTATATTACAGTGTTTTCTTTCTTCTAATCTTGTAAATTATTCTGTTCTATTTACACTCACTTTTCAAATTCATACTCATAATGGAACTTTGTATTCAGGTTTTCGATAGGTTGTTAAGATATGGAGATTATTGGATGAGACGTAAATCAGGAAGGTTTTTTAAGCGAAACTGAATTAAATTTTATCCAAATTAAATATCCATTGTTATGAATCTTCACAATCTCACTGTGAGTATTTAAAAGTTGGTTTTAACTATTTAAAAACTTTTTTTCCTTTCGAGTACATAACCAGCATCAGCTGGTATTTGGAATGTTCTGATATGAAACAGAACTATGATATTTACTCTCAAGCTTCAGTGAAATGTGGAATAAGTCGTTGCACATATCGGCGTATTTTTCATAGTAACTTTTACCTAGTAGAATATTTTTAATTACAATGTAAGATATATTGAAGGCCAGGAAAAAGAGATTAGACGATATACCAGCTTCATGAGAGACTGTTAACTAAGGGTTATACCTATACACATAGTGAATTCAGAAAACCTGACTGTGTCTACATAATGTATTTCGAACTATCTAGGAATTTCTCATTTTTATACACATTTATTGTCTGTTAGATGAAGTGTATTTTACTATTAGTAAACATGAATCAAACTGGTCTGTTTACTATGTTTCCATGAGAAACGTTTATGTACATAACCATGTGCTTTAGAAACCTACTACATATGCTTCATTATTTTCTGAAGTGCAATGGATATCCACAACCCTGAGACTGTCACAAAGTTTTCATCAAATCACAACGACCAACATCTTTTGACAGGAATCAAGAGGTGTCATATTTATATTTACTTGTACATTCCTTGTTACACATGCATTTACAATCTCTAACAGAAAATGCTGTGAACAGTAAAATTAATCAAACTACATCCATATCCTTACCGAGGAATAATTGTTCAAGTATGTGAGATTACTAAACTTCACAGGATAATTATTTGCTATATTTGAACCGTTGTAGTAAGCAAACAAATATTGTATATATCCGTAATAGACATTATTTAGAGACGGACCAGAAAATTTCATGATCAAACTATTATTTCCAGGTGGAAGGACAATTACCGAATCAATAAACCATGTATCGAATAGACAATAATTTGGATTATCCTGGATGTATACTCTGGAAAATGTGACATTGATAGTATTCGGTGGAACTATGACGCCCTATAAAGAAGAAAAAATGACATTACTCATCTGAAAACCTCAAATCAATTATTTTGGCTAGTACACATCATGGTTCTATATCTTACTGTGCACATTTACTGAATCGGATCACAACGTCCTGATGATAACACTATTTTATTTCATTAACATCGGAATCATTAAATCGAATTCATTAATGAATGAAGGTTGCAATCTGAAACACCACATTGTTTTGTAGGATAAGTGACTGTGAAATACATACGAATTCAAAGACGATTATGCCTACTTATAATTCTTATTACTACCATTATTTTAAATAGTTTTCATCTTTGACAAAAATGATTATTCGTAGCGTTTTATGAGAGTTTGACGTTCATCTGAATCGGAGGTTGTCTCCAGTGGTAACATACCACTAATCTTGTTGATATTCTGCTGTTGTTGTTGTTGTTGTTGTTTGAACATCAAGGCTCAGAACTATGACATAAGATTTGAAGAATCTTTGATCATATTGTTATGCTTGTTTCAAAGAAACAGGTTACTACAGTGTCAATTGAAACAAGTCTTGAGTCTCTTTCAGTGACAGCTTACCAACTGTGAAATCAATGACAAAAACTGAAGTTTAATTTTCAAAAAATTCTACAATAAACAGAGATCATACCCTCTTGACTGCAGTGATTTCACTTCCTGTTTCTTCGTCAGAATAATTTTCATCAATTAAAATGTTGACCGTTGCATCATCAGTTATATTTAGTGAAGTATTTGCATTCCTAACTGTCACTTGAAAAGTGATGGTGTGATTATTCTTCATTGTTTCATAATCACTTTCAATAACTTTCAAAATACCAGTTGTTCCATCGATAGCTGCTGGTAAGTAGTTTGAACCAGGTACAATGTTAAATCGAACACTTCCACACGATGCTAAGGAGGAGTTTTCATCACTCAGAGAAAGACTACCAATCAGACTTCCATTGACCCAGTTAGAAAACTTGGTTTTGAAGGTGAATAATGTCTGAGTGAATTTTGGAATTCTATGTACTAAAATGGTAAGCATATAATCACTACAAAGTTAATATTGTGATATATATATATATATATATATATATATATATATATATATATATATATATATATATATATATATATATATATATATATATATATATATATATATATATATATATATATATATATAAACCAGAAAGGACTTATTAATCATGGAATGGAAAATATTTCTTCAACTGTAACCAATGCACAATACAAATGATTGAACGTTTTTACAAATAGATAAACCAATTCATGAGGAGATTTTGCTTTTAGTTGACCAACTGATGATTTTCCAAGATTTCCTATAACAAGATGCGAAGTGAATTTGACTACAAGCTTATCAAGAAATGTGAATTATTATCCATTCAGTGTAATGTTTATTTCTTCTACAAGTAATTTAGTTAAGGATGAACTCGGGTGCGGAAGACAACAGGTTAAAGTAGAATACACCTTATGAGCTTCAGATAAGAGTCTTTATCATCACCTCGAAAAAGAAAAGGATAGAATGTAACCAAATATTTATAAAACCGAACAGAAAATTATCTTGTTATTAGTAATATTGACTAGTTAAACCATAAATGACTGACTTACCTCGTTCTTCACAGGTTTTCCCAATCCAACATGTATTACATACACACCTTCCATTAATACAGTGACCATTGACACAGCTCCTAGTCAAAAAGATTGTGTATTGCGGTCTTATACACACAAGTGATTTAGAATATGTACATAAGTGAAATTTGTTATGCATATTTCAATAACTTTAGTTTTAGTGTATGGAACTGACTTGCAGAAAACGATTAATTTGCTATTAAAAATCAGTGATTTGAGTCTGGAGATGAGATACCAAGATGTATACTTATTACAGCAAACCTTTATCGATACATTAGCTAAATATACCTGAATTTGTACTATTTTGATATGACCTGACCATCCCAAAATCGTAATTTGATGAATATCTCTGCACAGTTTAGTACTTCTACAAGTTTCTCCACCTTGCAAAGTTGGTAAATCGAAACTAAGAGTAAAGAGCTTTGAATATGATTTCAATATGAAATCGCTGACTTTAGTTTCTACACAATCAACAACAGATCATTAAGGTTTAGGATTTGTTCGTTCAGTTCAACCATAAACGAAACTGAAAATAATGCCAATAAATATCCTGAAATTCTTGAGAATTGTGCTCATCTTACCTTTAACCACTATTCTTATACACTATTGATGTGATATTCCAAACAAACAGAAGCGTCAGCAAGCATGCTTATATCAAGATAACGCATTAGCATTAATGGCTGACTAAAGATCAACTGAGTTTCACCCTTATTTTAGACAGTCTAAATATTTTAAATTGCGTTTTGTATATTACTGGACAGTTTTCGCACTTACCAAAAATATTGAAAGTATTAAAATCAACAGTCAGTGAAACTATGGATACACTATTTTGAGAAAATTTATCTTTAGCACTGTCTTTCATTGGACGTTATATTGAAAGTTATATCATTCAACTGAAATGTCCCCAGGCCAATACTCTTAATTAGTTTAGAACCGTCATTTAAACTAATCAACTCGAGACATGTTTAGTAGTTCTGATTACTTTCATCTGTTCTATGGGCTTTCTATGTGTTAGCTTCTAGAGGTGATCCTTTCCTCATTTGATTTGTTATCTATTAGTTGTCTGTCTTTAGGCTCAGTTACTGGTTTAAATAGACTGAGAATATGTTTATGGTTAGTTTGCACAGTAATCATTTGCAATTTAGTTCACGTATATCGAATGGTAGAACAAACGTGTTTGGGACGTTGTATTGATGAAGAAAATTGAAGATATTGCTCTACTACTTGTTTGTAGCATAGTTTAATTTGACTGTGATTATAGTTGACCGCTTCCTCTATCGTTTGAGTCACATTAGTTCAATTTGACTAGCGATTCCGAATTCTAGACATAAATAGTTAATAAATGATGTCTATACTGTATACCACAAGTGAAATAAATGTCTTGTCACTGCTCAGTACACACAATTATACCACATTTTGTGTTACTTATGTATCTATATCACACAGAAATTTGTTAGGTGGTTGAAGATAGTCGGTAGGAAACGCTGGTTGTGTGTTATTCGGTGCTTGCTAGTAGCTAAGTAAACCATAGATTTAGGTCACCACTAAGAACTAAACATACATGTCATTAACGATCATTCGGTAACCAATCCCTCCTGTTTATTAATAAGCCTCTAATCAACCAAAGACACCTAAAGAGAATCATATAAATATTTATTACCATCACGACTATGATCATAAAGCAATAATATTCTTTCAACAAACTTACGATGAATTATTTTCACACAATTTTGTGGATTGTTCAAATGATCCATGAACTACTGAATGCAATATATTAGTTTAAACCTAAACAATCATTCATCAACTTACAAACAGTATGAATCAGTATAATGATCAAATCTGTTGGAATTCTTTGATAGACGATCATTATGTATGAATGTGAAAATGTAAGTCAAACGAAAGTGATGATGATGATGATGAAACTTTTGGGTTCAACTTTGTTTAAAATATTTCCGGATGATTAAACTAATTTCAGTCAGTAGCTAAATTAATTTCAAGTAAACCTGAATTCATTTAAATAGTTGCAAAATATGTAGTTGTTTCAGCCAATCAGAATGCGGTCACTGGATTTTGGGTAGTTACATCTATTTATTCTAATCCCTAATAACAAACGAAACCTGATGACAATCCACATATTTGTCATATGAATGTATATCTCAACAACAAATAACTTGAACACTCCAATAGCAACAACTAGTCATACATACTCTTATACTGACCAAAAACATGAAGATGATTAACAAGTCTTTAGTATTTTGGGCGATAGTGAATTGGAAGTATGATGTGAACCTGAGACTGAACTGTGATACACTGTACTACTTGCAAAGTTGTCCTTAAGGTAAATGAAAAAACTAACACTTTGGTAACCAGGTGACTGAAAAAAACAATGTTATACGTTGACTTAATAAGTGAACAATACAAGATGGTATTTTATAATAGGTCGTTGATATCTTGTTTTATTTAATACAACCATGGCTCTTTACTGAAACAATTCATATCTGTCATATTGTAATAAAGCATTGTTATAATTTAGTGTGCAGACAATTTAAGGACAACAAATTAAATGAATTTAAGCCACCGGCATTTTCTATTGTCTATCCGGAATGATTCAGTGAATAAAGTTTCTTTTACTAATATTTTCATTACGTTTATTACGTTACGGAGACATAGTAGCTAAAGTGAATTAACTCTCCGTGTCACACCTTAGAAATGTTTGTAATAAATAACTACAATAAGGTACAAGACTTAAGGTGACGTACCAACATGTTAAACACACCCTTTATAATAGTGTGGTTAAAACTGTTGTTTGCTTTTATTAATTCAACTGAAAAATGTATTTATATGTTGGATTAATCAATTAGTTCCCACTGTTTCATTTCGAGTTTGGATTTCTCATTGAAAACACTAAGCAGTAAAACAACAGTTTGCACTCTTGCTCAGTTTGAGTTACTGGATATAACATAGATGACCACAATTCTGTGAAATAGGGGTAGAAAACGATTATAAAGATCAAGCTATGTTTAGCACTGCATTTGTGAAAATATTTAGACAAATTTATGTGGATTTCCCCAGTAAGCAATGGCCACGAAATAGGTGACGATAAAATCCTCGACCAACATGGCTTTCTGATACGCTACTTGTCTCATAAAGACGTGATTTGTCAGAACAAACAAACAGCTAAATATTGCATACAAAATTAATTGACAATAGGAAAAACACAACCTGACCTCCGAAAGCATGTGATCTGGTGACATTGCTGACAAATCACTGTCAAACATCTGAAACACGTCCAATTAGATGTGCTTTTTTCAAATCCACTCGTTTGTGTATGATTTTCTACTGTCAAATCTCATTTTCGGATTTAGCAGTTCAGAAGTCCACATTATCAAGGGATTTAATACTGTACATCTTAATCTCAGTCTAGATATTTTGTTTCTTTCTATTTATCATTTTATATGCACATAGTCAGGACTACTTATTTAGGCAGTAGAACGGAAATTTCATAAACTACAAAATTCCATCTTATAGAATCCAACACCTGAGTAGTACTGATTAATCCTAACGTTTCCAATCACAATAACCTAAAAGCTAACCAAAATCCAATTTACAATTTCACACTAAGTAACATTGGCTCTCCGCACTCACATGTTTTGGAATACGACTATATTTACAGAATCAAAGAAACCAGGGCATTTGTTTGCGTTTTTTAATCGACATTTATTCTTAATCGAGTCTGGTTATTAAGATGAAGGAAGTGAATCGTACTTTTGAAGTGTAACCCACGTTACCACCCCTATTAATTGTACTAAAAAAATTAGGATAGAATTAAGCAGTAATATGTAGACATTTGATTCCCACAATCAACTATAATGTTCCTAAAACCGATCTTAGAATAGGTCCATTATTCACAAATTAGATAAATAAAAAACATTTTGCTTCCATAGAAATTGTGCTAAACAAAACGTAAGTTTTTTTTACTGCATAAACAGGTGTCAACATTTTTGCCTTATCACTTTTTCTGTCTATTAATTCCACATATCGATGTATTGTTAACAATAAGGAGAGATGAATTCGTAAAGGTTGACCCCGTAAAACGAAAGTGGAGTGGTAAACTAACTACTGGAGATAACTTACTTACTTGCGCCTGTTACTCCTCGTAAAGGAACATAGGCCGCTCACCAGCATTCGCCATCCAATCCTGTCCTGGGCAATCCTTTCCAGCTTCTTCCTGTTGTAATTCATCTTTTTCATATCTGCTTATACTTCCCGACGTAATGTGTTCTTTGGCCTTCCTCTTTTCCGCTTCTCTTCAGGATTTTTAAGTTAGGGCTTGCCTCGTGATGCAGTTTGACGATTTGCGTAATGCATGTCCTATCTGTTTCCATCGTCTTTTCCTAATTTCCTCTTCAGCTGGAAGTTGGTTTGTTCTCTCCCACAGAAGGCTATTGCTGATGGTATCCGGTCAATGGATGTTGAGTATCTTGCGAAGACAGCTATTTATAAATACTTGTACCTTCTTGATTGTGGTTGTTGTAGTTCTCGAAGTTTCAGCTCCATACAGTAGAACTGCGTTGACGTTGATATTGAAGATTCTCACTTTGATATTGGTTGAAAGTCGTTTTGAGTTCCATATGTTTTTCAATTGTAGGAATGCGACCCTTGCTTTGCCAATCCTTGCCTTGATGTCTCCATCTGAGCCTCCTTGTTCATCGATGATGCTTCCCAGGCATGTGAAGGATTCTACATCTTCCAGAGATGGGTGGCACTAAACAGACTAGGAAATCCTATTGACTCGTTATGCTAAATAACGTAGCGTCCGTGGTACGTTGAGTGAGAAATTGATTCCATCAGCAAAAGTCTTGCTAGAACCTATTGTAAAAATTTTATTTTCCTTCTCCTCACCACCCATCTGTACCTTCTTCAAAATATATAGCTATTTCAGATCAATTCATGTTGCATAATTTTGATAAAACTTATTTTGATCCAGAAGCAGTTTTCCTAGATTTATCAGTCTGTCAGAGATTACGAGATACGGTTTGTTACATTCTCGTTGCCTATCACATATACTTGAAACGAGGAACCACTACAATTCACACGCCACAAAATAAGAACAAAGCCGACTGGGACGAGTGAAGATGCACCCACTTGAAAACACGACAAACAAAGTCGAAAATGCCCTCACTAGCATATTGATTTGTAAATCTATTAGATTATTGATTACAAAATAGCCACATATGAAAAATGCCCAGAGTCATGATAAATACTACACCGACTAACCACCATATTAAATTAGAAACAGAAGTAATGTTGAATAGAAATCACAATGAGTGGGAAATGTAATTTTGTCTTCTCATGCCGTCATATCACGGCTCGCACATATTTTATACACAATAAACACTTTCTTCGCGTTTTTCGATTGTAGAATCAAATGAAATATGTCTTGCACCGAAGTACAGAAACGTTTCGATATTCTAGCTGGTAATTCATAAATCATGCACATCTAAACTGCCTTCATTTATTTCAACGAGATTTTATTTATTAAAACTGAGAACTTCCTTAAACGATAATAGAGCAAGACTAAACCTCAAACTGACTGTCTTTAGATGTTTGAGAAGTGTAGTACCTCAAGAATCAGCGCTTGTATAAATGCTCTCTCATGTGTATGTATATATAAATATATATACAAAGGCCAAAACGGTTTTTATTCAGAGAATGAGACTTGCAATATATGCAGTTTAAATATCTATTTACCAAAAGAACTTCCGATAGGAAAGATAATTTATCTCCTAATATTGGATATTCCAAATTCATACGCAAACCGTAATACAATAAATTCCGTTCTAAGCTCATACCAAAAGCTTC